GGGGGGGGGGGGGGGGGGGGGGGGGGGGGGGGGGGGGGGGGTATCTCCATCACTCCCGAGGAGCCAGGGGAGGGGAATGGGGTCCCTGGCTCTTCCTGGGGACGGGGTGGGGGTCGGGGGCCGGGGGTAGCTCCATCACTCCCGAGGAGCCAGGGGAGGGGAATGGGGTCCCTGGCTCTTCCTGGGGACGGGGTAGGGGTGGGGCGTCTCTATTCTCACAGGGCAGCACGTTGGAAAATCGATTCTTGCTTCTGTTCTCCGGGGCCAAGGAGGCCGTTTGCGGCTGCCCTGTGCCTTCCAGAGCCAGGTGCTGGTTAGAGAGAGAGAGGACGAGGGAGGAGACCGTCAGAGCCCCGATACGGCAGGGTGTGCCAGAGCCCCCTGCTCTGCCCACCAAGGCCTGTGGCTTTTAGCAGACCATGGGCACCGGGGAAAGGAAAGCGGAAGAGATGGCAGCTGTGCCTTTGTCTGCCCTCTCCCTCCTCTCCCCACCTTGCTCTGTCTCTGTGCGTGTCTCTTGCTCTGTTTCTGGTTTGCTCTCGCCTCTCCAGGGGCCTAGCAGACATCTCAAAGTGGACGCCCCCCGGGCATCTGAACCTCCTCGCGTCCCAAACGGAACTCATTATCTTTCGACCCCTTCCCCTTCCAAACCTCTCTGTTACTGTTGACCGCACCCCCTGTACCAGCAGCCCCCCCCCCCGGGCTCCCCCCTCACCCCCCCCCCCCCCCCCTCCGCCCCCCCCCCCCCCGGGCTCCTCCCTCTCCGCGCCCCCCGCCCCAGCTTCAGGTCCTGTTGAATCCGCCTTCAGAAGAGTGCCCAGACACGCTATCGCCTTGTTGCGGGTGCTGGTCGCCTCCCGCCTGGACAGCTGGCATAACCTGCCGAGGGGCCTCCTTGCCGTGGTCCCTCCCTGCTCTGCTTCATCCTCCACTCAGATGTCCCCGTTATCTTCTTAAAACGTGGCCCTGACCATGGCACCCCACCCCGCTCAATAAACTCCAGTGGATCCACTAGAGCCACATTTGGCTTTGAAAGTTCTCCCTAAGCTGCCCGCGCCTCCGCTTCTGCCCACTCGGTGCCTGCGCCCGGGGCGGTCCCCGCCACCATACCACCCTTTCCATCCTCCTCCATGGAGGCGCCTTCTCTCTGGCATCATCTCTGATTTCTGTTTGTACAGAGCGGTTGGCTGGCACGCCCTCTCCTTGGACCGTCCCTGAGGACGGTTTCTACCTTTCTTTGTATGCCCAGTCCTCAGCACAGTGCCTGGCACGTAGTAGGCACTTAATAAATGTTTGGCGACTGACTTGTTGGTTTGTTGAACTCAGCCTCCATCTCTAACTTGGTCTCTCTCCATCTTCGTCTCATCTCAGTCTCTGTCTTTGTGTGGCTTAGTCTTGAGCACTCTTCCCCACTCCTTCCTGCCCCGTCTCTCTATTTTGTCTGTCTCTGTCACTTTCCTCTGTCACTCTCTCCTGTTTTTCTCTATCTCTTTATTTCTGTCTCTGTCTCCCTCCCCCTTCTGTCTCTGTCTCTCCCTCCCCTCCTTTATTTCTGTCTCTGTCTC